TTCCCCAGTCTAAGTTTGCTTTCTGGCTGTGGGTGAAACAGCTCCCTGGAGTGGTGGTTCTTTGAGACCATGAAGATCTTGTAGGACAGCTCTTCAACTTTCCAAGATACTGTCTCATAGGTGACACCATCACTGAGTCTTCAGGAGACCACTGAACATTCTAGAAGTCCAGCAGGTTCTAGAATGGAGTACAGTGCAGAGCAGTGACTCCCGTTGTCCTTGGAAGATACGTTAATTTTTTTGTCTTTGTAAAGTGAGTATCTTGCTCAGAAGCACTGGTGTGTAGAATACCATGATTGTGGCTAATCCATGCATTAGGAATCTGGTTGAGTCTTGGGGTGAGGGGAGTAGAGGAAGCATAATAAAATCTACAGTGTTACTATTTCAGTGAATATAAGATTCTGCTTCCACCAAGGTGGAAGGAGTGTAATCGCCTCGCCACTGGCTGGCTGATACCCCAGGAACGGTGCCATGTCATATATTTACTTGTGATTGCTGTTGCTGCAAATTGGCATATGACATTGCCACTAATCATGTTAGTCTAAGAAAGGGTAAGTCCATGTTGGTGAGCCTACATGTGGCTTTTTTTCCTCAATTGTTAGCTTATTATCACACTGAACAAGTGCTATAGGAATTGGGTGAGGGGCAGGCTGGCTGACATACGTAGAACAAAATGTAGAAAGATATACTGACAAGGTTCCATAACACCTATGCATAGTGGGCAGCTCAGGTTGCTTGGTTACCTCGTATACCACTGTTTGCTTTCTATCCAGGGCTCAGTAGCAAGACCAAGACTTCCTCAAAAGGATAACATTGGTTTGCTTCATGATTCTAAGGGACTGAGATGTTTTTTTTCTGTTGAGACTTGTGACTAGTTTTATCCAGCACCCGATATTACACTGTCACTTGAGTTACCACTGGGTCAACCAGATCACTAAAAGCCAAGTTGTAGAGTTAACTTGTACGGCCACTTGAACTAGCTGGCTAGCCTTTTCTTTGGGGGAGTTGAAGCCTGAGCCGGCAACCTCTTGGGGCATTCAGTAAAGTGTGTCGGAGCCGCATAGCTCTCACCCAGCACTTTCCCTATTTGTATTGAGACTGCACAGAAAAGCAGTTTATCATTTACTTTGCAAGAGCTTGTCAACAATCCATATAGATTAATGGGCCAAGATTTTTCACCGAGGGCCCTGTATTTTTATGGGATTTATCTTCCACCTGCTGGCATACTTACATCCTTCCAGGGCACCTAAGAGTACATATTGCTGCTTGCTTTTCAGACCCTAAAAGCAGATGTAAACAATGTGTTGGACTAGTGTAGTGTCCTACAGGAGATTATCAATATCCTTGGAAACCAGCTTGTACTACAGAAATAGAGTGTGTATAACTGAAATAAGTCTGTTAAGGCTCACTGCTGTCCTGTCCATTTGAAAGCAAACTTCTTCTCATATGTCCTGTTTTTTTAGGCTAGAGCAAAATTTATCATATCAGCAGGTTTATACAAGGTGCCAGAGATTGTGATGATTTGTTCCAAGAAATAGATCCCATATTTAAGAGCATTGCAATTGGAGGCACCATCTGAATAAGCTTCTGCTAGCCACCGTGACTATTTTGCCTTCTGCGCCCTCTAGACAGGCCAGTTACATGGGAATAGGCGAGGCGTCATCACTCTGAGCTACTTAGGTCTTTGGTGTTGTTTCTGAGCAGTGTCACAGGAATAGGAGCTGCTCTTGGTTTATTGTTTTGTTAGAGTGCAGAGCCCCCAGAGGCGTCCAGTGATCTCTTCCGTTCCCTAAAGCCCTTACTCAGACAGAAAGGATGAAAACAAGGCTTACTGAGTATGTCTGTTAAAAAAAAAAAACCTAGGGAAAAACGACTTGGTGGATTTAGGCTCCCACTGGGCCTATTAGAAGCAGGTCAACTTAATTCTTTTTTTTTTTTTTTTAAGATTTTATTGAGGAATTGGGGGAGGGGAACAGACAAGTTGTTGTCCTTTTGTTCTTCTGTCTAGTTGTGGAGGACGTCACTTCACTGGCCCATGTTGGTATTTTCATTGTGCTCTTCCCAGGAGAGGCAGTCTCTCGCCAGCCAATGGACAGCCGCTCACGCCGGCTGCCAGCCACTCACAGTAGCTCATGGCAACCCACTGCCGCCCCACTGCAGCCTACACTGTCGCTGGCAACTCATGGCAGCCCAGCTCCAGGTCGAGCTGTTGTTCACCATCGTAGCTGTAGAGGGCGCAGTGTCACTGGCCCTCATGTGGGATCCCATCCGGGGCCCTGCTGTTCAGAGCTGGCGTCCCAAGCTAACTCTGAACCAACGCGCCACTCGGCCGGCCCAACTTAATTCTGTTTAGTGGCTGAACAATTTTATATAGCATTCATACTTTAAAGTTATTTATCCTTTCCAGGATTGATACACTTTTTAACCATTTTTTTACTATTCATTTTTTCAGTGAACATTATTAAAGTTTCTGTTCTTGGTTAATTTTTTGTACTGGTTTCTCTGACCTTTGCTCACTTATCTCTAGTTCCTCATACATCATTGATATTGCCCCTTCTTATCTATGTCTCTCTATCTTTTGTTTGTAAGGCTTTTGAAGAATAATTATATTCTTGCCTGCTTATGTTTCTTGATTTTTACCAGTCTGATATGTGTAAAGTTGATTATCAGTGAAGTTGAATTTCTTATTTGATTATTTGCTTATTGTAAACTTCAAGAGGATATATTTTGTCCCTTTTTTTATAGGCTATTTTTCTTTTAATTACCAGTTTGTAGGAGTTTTTTCTATATTAGGGATGTTAATCCCTTTGCTCATCACACTACACATATTTTTTCTTATGAATATATACATATTACATATATGTTCCTTATATATACTTGTAACAGATACATATTTTTCATATAACATGTAAACATTTTTTTGTTGTCCATTTGTCATATTTTCCTCCATGGTTTTAGTTTTGTGTCACACTCAGATAATATTTTATACCTCACTCCAAGATCATAAATAAGATCATGTAATAAATACTTTTTTATAGTTTTATGTAGCAGTTTAATGGTTTCAGTTTTAATGTTTCAATAATAATGTATTACAGGTTTATTTTGCTACATGAGGTAAGCTGGGGTTCTCTAACCCCCAAATGATTAGTGAGTTTTCCTGGTGTCAGTTATTGAACAGTTTATTTTTTCTCACTTAGTATAATGTGTTTAAAAGACAAGAACCCTCTAGGGATGAGATAAATGCCTGTCTTTATACTATAGAGGCCTACACTACAGTTTGTCTTATTAACATACTTTAAAAAAAGTTAAAAGTTTTAAACTCTTGTAAGGTAGTCCAAGGAAATCTGTTGAAGTTGAGAAGGACATATATAATGAATTGCAATCAGCCATAAGGTAAAAACAGCAAACAAGAATTGTCCACCCTACAAAAGAAAAATCTGCCAAAATAAAAGGAAAAAGAAATTCCTCTGAAACTAGCTGAATGGTTAGCAATTGCTATATGATTCCTTCTCAGTAGTTATATTTTTCAGCTTTGACTTGAAAGCAGTGTTCATTACATCATCCTCAGTGAACAAAAGTTATCCTGTGTTTTGAAATACAGTTATTCCCTTGATTTCATAAATAAATAATGACTATTTAAAAGCATTTAAGCTATATAAATAAACCACTTATTTTAAATGTAAAGAATGGGGGGTTGGATTATTTTTCTCTAATTCTTGGAAATGTGAAAGTACTTTGAGATGGATTTTCGACTTATTTCTACTTGATGTTTTATTTGTGTACACACATACATGAAACTGTAGGTCTCTTCCTTATTGTAAAGAGCCTTCTTTTTTTTGTCTTTTTTTTTTTTACCGTAGTCATAGATTTCTGGATTATGAGCTTAGCATGAATTTTAAACCCTTGACTTTTAATTTTAAATATTTCAAACCTACAGAAAAGTAAAAGTACAGTGAACTTTTTGTATACCCTTCACCTGTGTTCACCAAGTTGTTGACATTTTTCAACTTTTGTTTGATAGTGCTACCTCCAGATTCAAATTTCAATTCCTCCAATTGTCCCCACAATTTTTTTTATAGCATTTTTGTTTTTCTGATGCAGAGTCAAAAATCATATATTACCAATTGTGTGTTTTATTATTTGGGGTTTTTCAGTTTTTTAATTTAGAAAGCTCTCCTGCTTTGTGTGTGTGTGTGTGTGTGTATGTGTGTGTGTGTGTGTGTGTGTGTGTGTGTGTATGTGTGTATATGATATAGGCCTTTAAAAAGTCCAGGCTAGTTGTTTTGTCGATTATCCCACAATCTAGCTTGGTCTGATTTCTTTCTCATGATTAGATGGAGTCAAGTATTTTGGTGAGGAAAATGCATAGGTCATATTGTGAGTTTCTTACTGCATCATGTGCCAGTTTGTACCATTGGTAGTTCTAACTTTGATCATTTGTTTTAAGCCACAAATTTATCTATGGTAAAGTTCATTATTTTATAATTGATGTCATCTATGTGGTGATAATTTGAGGTCGTGTGGTTCTAGCATCCTTTGATAATCCTTACTTGAATCACTTATTACAGGATAATTGAAAAATGATGTTTTCTAATGTTATTTCTCCCTTGTTTATTAGCTATAATTCATTTACTTTATATTTCATTGAATTATTATTCATTGGAATATAAAGTAAATTATTACAATTATTTTTCTCACGATTTTTATGCCAGTAAAGCAAAAGTCTATGTGCCCTTGTATTAAATCTGATAAGAGAGTATTAAAACTGATATGCAGTTTCATATGATAATGCACCTACACAATTTTCTCTTGAAAATTAATTCATTGTCACCAATTAGATTAAAATAAACCATTTATTTCTTTTCTCTCAGTTAATGTTTTCTGTATTTATCTTTGTTTTTCTCTTTTTCTATCTGCCCAATTGCTTATATTAATTTTCAGTGTAATTTCTGTTACCCTAACATTTGTAGCAATTATACATTTATTTTCCATTTTAATAGCTGTGGAAATACAGAGGACTCTGAATCAACTTGGAACACCTCAAGATTCACCTGAACTGAGGCAACAGCTGTAAGTATTAAAAAAAAAGAAAAAAAAGAAAGAATGGGAAAATACAATTATTGTTATGTTACTTTGATAGTGTGTAGTGTTATGTTTACTGGGAAAAACAATGGAAAATTAATAAGGTATTTCTGCTACCTCATTTGTATCAAGCTTTTGTATAAGTTTTTTCCTTTCCAGAGTAGGGAGATTGTATATTTATTTTTTATTTTTTGTCTTAGAGATCTGGCTTAATTTATCAAAGCAGGACTTCTTTAGTTACTTTTCTTATATACTTTTTAAATAGGTTGTTTTTGGTGGCTTTTGAAAAATGGTACTCTAAGCTTCTATGTGTGCATGTGTGTGTGTGTTTGTGTATGTATGTGATTTACTTCCCATAGCAAACAATTCCTACAGTGTTACAGTGACCAGATTTTTATTTGGTTTAGATCCAATACATATCTTACGAACTATCCCCCAAAAGCTTATAGCTACATATTTGAATTTCAGAAAGCATCTGTTTAGAAAAAAATGACATAATGAAGTTATATAATACATGTTTCTGTAAATTAATATGCTGTTAGAAGACCAGCAATAATACTTTGTGGTGTTATAGATATTAGATTGTTTTTATACATTTTCTCATCTGAACCTTATAAAATTGGATTGAGATCAATAGATCAAAAGAACTGTTTCCATTTTGCTCATAAGGAAAACATGTCTGTCTGGGGTTTGATGATTTGCCCAACATCATTCTGAACTTGAATTTTAAATCGTAGTTCACTGCTGTTACAGCTACAAATTTTCAAGTAACATATATGTAATAAGTGATATGTCAAACAGCATTAGCTATAGAAGGAAAAAAAATGTAGAGGAAGAAATTAAAAGATAGGTAATCATATTTTTTATGAAGTACAATTTGAGGAATTTACATTTATCTCTAATTTATATTGTATTTTTCTATAGTATATAGATGTCAGGGTGATAAAAATGCCACTAATCTAAATAATAAACCATCATTTATTAAAGTAAAATGGAATAGAAACACATAATTCTTAATAGTTACAGTATTTTGCTAAGGTTAACAGTTGCAATTCTGAATATGTAGACATCCTTAAAGTCTTTTATTTTTAGAATTTTAATTATGTTTTCTAAAGATTTAAAAGTATATTAAAAATAGGGTACTCAAATAGGTTATAATTCTTCCTTATCAATCAAATACAGATATCTATATTTAAACATAGTCTTAAATAGTATTTCATTTTTAGAGGACCCTAAGTGTGACTAATATGTGTTTAAATGAGAGATAATATATATGAGAGGTACCATTGCTATAACCAACCTATAAAGCATCACATTAATACAAGCTTTTTGGTGTCAAGTTCTTTAGAAATCTTTTTACTTTGTGAGCTAGCTAGCAAGATAGCTATAGATACCGATATAATTTACTTCTTTTATTGCGTTCTGTTCCATTTATGGGGAAGTGCTATTTTTTTTCCTACAGCAACCAAAAATAATAGTAAATTTGTAGTGTAACTTATTACTACCTCTTCCCCTCTATTCTTTTTGTTGTTGTTATTTTAAAGTATCTATAGGATATAAATACCCAGGTAGAGAAATACGAGGCCAGATGTACCTTAGGACTTGAGCACTGAGCAAAGTTTAAGGCAACAAATCCTCTTTACTTACTCAAGTATATCCCAACTGTGGGATGCAGATAAAAGGCTTCCACACCCCCCATATCTCAAACTTCAGACATCTCACAGTCTCATACTGGCTTAAATCATCTTCCTTTCTAAATGGCTATTGATAATTACTTCTCAAGCTTAGTTCTCCCCCTGTGTGATTAAAGAACTTTTCATGTAATATTTGCTCAATACTTACGAAAGAATAGAACCTGAAAAATTTATTTTCATATAGAAAATTTGGAACCAGTCTATAAAACAGTGATTTTTATAAGACTGTTTATCAGGGTTGATTCAAGTGACAGAGTTGTAGCTTCAAGAAATATATCATTAGTTCTTTGGCTATAATGTGTGTTTTCTCACTTTAGGCAACAGAAGCAGCAGTATACTAACCAACTTGCCAAAGAAACAGATAAGTACATTAAAGAGTTTGGATCTCTGCCCACCACCCCCAGTGAACAGGTATCAAGCTTTAAAACATTATCGATGTGCTGAATGTGAAAGAGATCAAATGCATTGTAGTAGTTTGAACTATTAGGCTGGAAAGGAAATTAGGGGTGGGGGTAGGGAATTTTATTTGAGTTTAGTTCAGAGAACACGAAACTGTATTTAATTGCCCAGGTAGTATCCTGTGGTTCAGTAAAGCAGAAATTATTTCCATGCAGTTGCCCTGACCCATAATTAAGTAAGTGCTCAGAAAATGCTTCCTGAGTAATTGTTTCCTGCCCTTCCAGAACTGACTCCATGTAGCATGCACATTCGTTCAAGATGTCACATTTCCTAGGGGCACATATTTCCTTGCTCACTTAGTGGACATTATTACTTACGTAAGAGTATAAGGTTTTATTTTCCTAAAAACAAACAAAAAAACGTACTTTAAAATGACCTCAAAATCATGGCCCAGATTTTAGGATGAAAACATGAGGTAAGAAATTCAGCATTATGGACCTTTGCCTCAAGGGAAATTTACGCAGTTGTCAAAATGTTATTGCAAATTAATTAGTAAGGCCCTGTAGTTGGAGAGTGAGTGAAAATTTCAGAATTAAATAAAGAGCAGCTAGTGGTGAAACAACTTTTGCAAATTCTATAGAACTTCACAGCTTGATTCTAGTAGGTTTTTATTCCCTTTTCCTCTAGCGTCAAAGGAAAATACAGAAGGACCGCCTAGTAGCTGAGTTCACAACATCACTGACAAACTTTCAGAAGGTCCAGAGGCAAGCTGCTGAGAAAGAGAAAGAGTTTGTTGCTCGAGTGCGAGCCAGTTCCAGAGTATCTGTAAGTATTTAAAAAGGCATTGTGAAAATAAACAATATTCTCTGGGGATCTGTTAAAAGGCCATGTTTAAGTCATAAAGATCTGTGAATAGCTGGGAAATCAGTATTTGAATATTTATTTTCAGATGTTTCTGCTCAGTTTTTATGAAGGATGATAGTTATGTATTATTGTGGTTATTTTGTCCATGTCATTAACTAGAAGATTACAGATTATATAAAAATGTAGAAATATTTTGTCAGAAAAGATTAGAGGTCAAATCCTAAGTAATATTTCTATATTTATTTGAATTCAAAGCTCTTACTTGGTGTTTGTGCTAGTATAGCAAAGCACATTACTCCGGGGTTGTGTAAAGATAGGGGAAATCAACAGTGAATGAATATATTGTACAAATATTGAAGAATATTCAGCTAGAGAAATATAACCTGTAGAAAATGAACGAAAGGATAATTTAGCATGGAATTTTGACTTAATCTAATTTCCAATTCCCTTAGAAGCTATCACAAGTTGTTTTCTTGTTCCTTAATATAGAGTTTCCAAGACTATGTTACATTTTAATTAAATAGAAATTATTTGGCTCTTGGGAATATTTAATGAATTTCTTCCTTGTCATCTTAGGATATTTTATTACTACTTGAAGTAGTTGACCAAAAATATTAGATAAAATTTTTTTTTCTTTACATGTGTATTCACATGCATCTATAAATCAGTCTAGATTATTCTAGGGAAAATGTGTTGTGTGTTTTTTCTTTGCCCCTTCTCAATCTGTTCTATTACTAAATAATTCAGGGTGGTTTTCCTGAGGAGAGCTCAAAAGAAAGGAATCTTGTATCCTGGGAAAGGTAAGAAGTATAAAACATTATACAGATCAAAAGATACTTTCTCAAATACATTTTATACATTATGATCCCTGGAACAGAATTAAAGTTTCCAGTATTTTATATCATGACGATCCTGAGTTACTTGTAAATACAAAACAAATAATAAACTTGAGAAAATTTTGAAATCAGTACTTATTGTAAAATACATAAATATATAAACATATTTGATACAGGAATAATACTTTATAGATAATTATTTTCCAAATAAATATTGACTTAATTATTATTTGATATAAAACATTCCTTTATGTGAGGTTTAAGTCAGCCAATGAGAAATACCTGGCTGCCAGAGATAGCTTTCATTAATTAAATAATAACTTTTAGTATTAGTGAAATGAAACATGAATAAAAATTGACTAATGTTTCTGTAATATTTTCAAAATTTAAATGAGCAATTGTCTGACTTCGAAGAAAAAATATTCAACTTAGTGTTTCTTAAATAGGAAGGAAGCCCTGTTGTAATACCGTCTTTATTTTTCCCATTTTTTTTCTTTTTGTTAGCCAAACTCAACCTCAAGTGCAGGTGCAAGATGATGAAATTACAGAGGATGACCTTCGCCTTATTCATGAGAGAGAGTCTTCTATCCGGCAACTTGAAGTAAGCTTTACATTGTAGAGTTGGACCCCTGCTCTGTTCTTAGTGAGTTTGTCCTGAAGAGGCTTAGATAATGCTAGGAGAGGGGTTGAGAAAGAAAACTAAATAAATATATCAATTTGGTAGCTTTTTTTATATAAATTAGAATAATTCCTTTAAAAATAAATACTGTCTTTAGAATTTGTGCTAGGATGAGAAAACATACTTTTCTCCACTCTTTTTTTTTTTTTTTTTTTTAATTTTGTTAAGTCATCTCAGGTCACCTTAGCATTAAGAAAAATAACAATCTAGAGATAAATGTCTGTTCAGTGAGTCTGGATGGCTTCCAGGACACTTGATACACATTACATCTGCATGAAGAATTTTTACCAGGGCTTGAAAAGTGTTTTTTTTCTCTTTAGTGTGTTTATGACATCAAAGCGATCTAAACCCTTAGTTCTTATGGCACCTGCCTATTCCCTCCAGGGTGGGCTACTAATAGCTAACAATAGCTACAGTTTATTGAGGACTTCCATGTGCCAAGCACTATGTAATAAACTACCTTTTTTTTTGTTTAAAGATTTTATTTGGGAATTGGGGGAGGGGAACAGCATTGGGGAATCGGGGAAGGGGAACAGACAAGTTGCTGTCCTTTTGTTCTTCAGTCTAGTTGTGGAGGACGTTGCTTCACTGGCCCATGTTGGTATTACCATTGTGCTCTTCCCGGGTGAGGCAGATCGGTCACCAGCATGCTGGCCGTTCACGCTGGCTGACGGCCACTCATGGTAGCTTACGGCAGCCCACTGCAGCAAGGGCTGTGCCTACGCCGTCACCAGCAACTCATGGTGGTCCAGCTCCAGGTCGAGCTGTTGTTCAGCATCTTAGCTGCAGAGGGCAGTGTCACTGGCCCTCATGTGGGATCCAAACTGGGGCCCTGCTGCTCAGAGCTGGCGTCCCAAGCCAGCTTTTAACCAACGCGCCACTCGGCCAGCCCATAAACTCTTTATCTTAATTGTCTCATTTTGTTCTCATAAAAACTCTATGATGTGATTAACTATGTCATTATCGTTGCCACTTTACAGTGGGGAAACTAAGTCATAGGATGAAAATGCAAATTGCCCCACCCCTCCTGAATAAAATATTTTGTTTTTACTCTTTAATCTGGTAAAATAATAATTATCATATATTGAGGAAAAGTAAATTTTACCTTCTTTATCCATCACTATTCCATTGCATATTTAAATTTATTAATGTGAGACTTTAAATCTACACCTAATGTTTTATTCTTTTACATTGTCAAATTGATTAATACATTTTTACTAGAAATATAACAGAAATATTTTATACCCTTGTAAGGAAATATTGCTTGTGCAAACAAAACCAATCAGATTGTATAACATAAACTTATTAACCACAGCCCTTCCCTGATGTACATCTTTCATTTCCATCCTGCCTTGCTTGATATTTTGAATGTCACGGACTTATTTTAGAGAACTGGTTACTGTTATTCAAGGTCTACTTACTTGGGATTACTTATAGTAACATAATTTTCTGGTATTTTCAAAATTTGTGTATTAAGTATGTATGAGTGGTGGTTTGGGTCCCGCCCCCCCTTTTGTGAACCAGAGACTGAATTTCTGATTATAATAATATGTGTCTTTTTCTCTTAGGCGGATATTATGGATATTAATGAAATATTTAAAGATTTGGGAATGATGATTCATGAGCAAGGAGACATGATAGGTAAGCCCTGCTGATTAGATCTCATGAGCTGTGAGCTAGCAGCCCATATACAATTTACCTGTTGTAACTTGTCAAACAAGAGTGACTGCTTCCCCTTTGTCTTTTGGTCCCTCTGGAATCAAAAGCACAGTCTACAGCAGACAAAGCATCACCCTGGGTATTATCTAAAACAGATCTTGTTTTTGGCTCCTAGTTATTGAAATGAGCAGTTTCATTTATCTCAGAAGCCTCAAATTTAATCAGGACCACTGCTGCTGAGATCACGGAAGGCACCAAGTAACATCATTCTAGCTTATTTCCAGGACCTCTGATTTTCGTCTTAGCCCAATTTAGTTCTCATCACAACAAAGACTTTTGGGGAAATGCGTGCTGTTTATAATTGTGCATGCGATCTTGCCTTTTAGATGAGGGGGCATAGGTAGCCATTTCCCCGATCATTTGTTTTAATAGCTTTTTGGTAGAATAGTTTAATGGTATTACTTAGACGCTAAGCATTCTTTAAAAAAAAATTCTTAAAAATAAGTCAGTGACTAAGACTCCCTTTAAGTTTTATTTTATTTTGTTTTTAGAGTTTTAACTAATTTATTTAAGATGTAATTGTCAGCACTGATCAGGATGCTGATCATTTTTATCATTTTGAAATACGAAGGTATCTGTGTGTATGTCTAAAAATGCATGTAATATGTTTTCTGAATTTGGTTCACTTGAAACCCTTGGACCTATAGTTTACTGTAGCTATTGTTTGTCCATTAGTCTCTTCTATTGCCCCAGTAGGTCACAGGGTAGAATTTCGAAAACCATTTATGCTTCATCCAACAAATATTTATTGAGGGCCACTATATCCAGGCAGAAATCTAGGCATTGGGGATTCAGCTGAAATTACACAACAGAGAACAGACCCTGCCTTCTTAGATCTTAAAATCTGATTGGAGGAGAGAGACAATTTTAAAAAAAGAAAGAAAAGTAAGTAAGTGGTGAAAAGTTCTATCGGGAAAATAAGGCCAGGGTAGGGGACGGGACTGCTGGCAGTGGAGAAGGTTGATGCTTTACACAGCGTAGGGAGGTAAGGCCTTACTGACAGGTGGCATTTTGGTGAAGACTTCATGGAGGTAAGGGAGCTAGTAAGAGAAAGTATTCCAGGCAGAGGGGGTCAGGCAGAAGCACTTCTGACATCTTTGGTGAGTGACATGAGTAGAGGAAGAAGGAGATGATGTAAGAAGTCACAGGGGATGCCATCATGTAGGCTCCTGAATCACTGTAAGGACTTTTATTGGTAGTAGATGGGAAGCCACAGAGGGATTTGAAAAGAGCAGTGTTATTGTCTAACTTAGGGTTTAGTTCTCACTTTGGCTGCTAGGTTGAGAACAGATGGTAAAGGGGCAAGACCAAAAGCAGAGAGACAAGTTCAAAGGCTATTACAGGAATCCAGGTGAAAACTTGTATTGCCTTGGATCAGACGGAAACAGGGAAGTGGTAAGAAGTGATGGGATTCTGGATAGTTTGAAAATGTAGAGCCAAAAAGATTTGTTGACTAGCTGGATATGGGTATAACAGAATTCATTCAAGGATTACTCTAAGGTTTTGTCCTGGCCCACAAAAGTAATGGTGTTGCCATTTTCTTAGATGAGGAAATCTGTAACTGGAGCAGGTTTGAGCAGATATAAATCAGTACATTTTGGATATGTTAAGTTTGAAACGCTATTTGACACCCAACTGAAAGTTTAGTTGGTGTTGAACATGGAGTTCAGGGGAGTAGTCTAGGCTAGGGATTTAAATCTGGGAGTCATCTGCACATACATGGTATCAAAAGCAATGAGATGATATGCGATCACCTAGGAAATATGTATAGATAGAGAAGAGAAGGGGGTCTGAGACTTAACCCCTTGGGTCCTAGAAATATTTAGGGTGTGGTCACCAAACTTACATCCATTCGTTTATGTGTTATCTATGGCAGCTTTTGTACAACAGAGGCATAGTTGAGTATTTATGACAGAAAGCTCATGAACTGCAGAGCTTAAAATAGTTACTATTTGCCCCTTTGCGGAAAAAGTTGTTGACCCCTGATTTAGAACCCAGAGAGCTGAGGAGGAAGCAATAAAATGACTAAGAAGGAATAACCAGTGATTCAGAGGAAAACCAAGGGAATGTGTTGTTTTGGAATGGGGCGGGAAAAGTGCTTTGAGAGTGATGGCTGATCAGCTGTTTGCAATGCTGCTATTCAATAAGTAAACTGAGGACTTAGAATTGACTGCTCAATTGAACAGTGTGTAGGGCGTAGGTGACCTCCGGTGAGAGCTGTGTTGGTGAAAGCATGATATAGCAGGCTCAGGAGAGAATGGGAGGAGAGCATCTGGGGATAGCATGTAGAAACAACTCTTAAAGAGTCAGGCTGGAAAGTGGAACAGAGAATAAGGTCATAGTTGTCAGTGGATGTAGAATAAACGAGAGGTGTTTGGGTTTGTTTGTTTTTAAGATGGCAGCTATAAGATGGATGGGAATAATTGATAAGGGAAAGAAATATTGCTGGTAAGTGAGAGAGAGGAAACTTGCTGTGCTGAGATCTTTGAGTTAGGTGACAAGGAGTGCGGCTAAGTGCACAAGTGGAGAGGTTGGCTCTTGCTGGGAGCATGGACAGTTCCTCTGTAACCACAGGAGGGAAGTCAGAGCACAGATATGTTGTTGCATGTAGCTGGTGGGTAGGGTCCAGGCAGAATGTGGAAATGTCTTCTGATTATTCCTTTCATCTCAGTGACCTAGAATCAAGGTTACTGGCTGAGAAGGACAGTGCAGGAAGAGCCATGAGAAGTTTGAGGAGAGAGGAGAAAGGATGCCAAAAAGTATAACATAGTCTTTCAGGAGTAGGGAAATGAGGTAGCGCTGCTTGGCAGTCGCAAATTTAAAGTGAAATAAGTCAGCATAGATTATTTATTTTATTTATTATTAAAGTTTATTGGGGTGACAGTGGTTAGTAAAGTTACATAGGTTTCAAGTATACAATTCTGTAACACGTCACCTATATATCACATTGTATGTCCACCACCCAGAGTCAGTTCTCCTTCCGTCACCATATGTTTGATCCATTTTACCCTCATCTACCCCCCCTTCCCCTTTTACCCCCCTAAAGACTCCACGAAAAAGCTATTAGAAACAATAAACAAATACAGTAAAGTTGCTGGCTACAAAGTCAATGTACAAAAATCCATTGCGTTCCTATATACTAATAATGAAATCTCAGAAAAAGAAAACAAAAAACAATTCCTTTTGCAATTGCAACAAAAAGAGTAAAATACCTAGGAATAAACTTAACCAAGAATGTGAAAGGCCTATACACCGAAAAATAGAAGATTATTCTTTTTTGCATCTGTGTTCAGCTGCATGAGACTGGTTGGGATTTTGTTGTGGAAATATGACTGAAGTATAGGGGCAAGAGAACTGAGGATGAATGCGAGAAAGTGATGCTGCATGATTGCCCGTGGGAGCCAAGCCAGGTAAGGAGGGAAGTTAGGACCTGAAGTATGTGAAGGACAGTGAAAAAGTACTGGGATCCATGAAGTGGCGTGTTAGAAGGAGTGAGCCGTAAAGATAGCAGGTGGTGATCAGAGAGTGAGACTTGAAATTAAGATTATAAAGAAGCTGCAGTTATTTGTAATAACAGGGTTTGGGATATGATCAGGGAAGTGAGCGTCTGAGAAAGGGTAACAATAACAAGCAAAGTCTTTGAAAAATGTGTGCTCAAGGAACTGAGAGGCCAAGGTATGAGGTGGTCAGCGATTGGATATTGAAATGGCCAATATGTATAATAGGAAAAGGATTGAAGAGAACATCAGTGAGTCAGGGGCCAAAATAGTCACAGGAAGAGAAGAAAGGACCATGAGGTCTGTCGATGTCTGTAACGAGAAGAGCTGGGTGAGTTGGATAGCATGAGCTTTAAAACTGAAAGCTAAAGCTGTGTCTCAGAGCTCACGCTGCGCAGCCGCTGCTGTTCCAGGCCGTAGGACAGGGCTCGGCAAACTTTTGAGATGGAAGAGCCAATCCTGTCCCTCACAACAATTTGAAAATTATTCGAGAGCCATAAATATATTTTTACAAATAAGGAAAATTTAAAGTAACATTATAACAAGTAATATTATTATATCTTTATTAAAATAAGAACAATTCACACATGTACATACCCAAAGAGCCGCATGTGGCTCGTGAGCCGCAGTTTGCCAACCCCTGCCATGGGAGGCTGAGATGGAGAACTGTCACCGCTTGAGAAGGCTGCAGGGCCAAGGGAGGGCTGGGTTTCGGCTCAGACACAGGCTGGTGATGGCCCCAGAGCACATGACGGCTTTCAGTTCTCTATATTTACCCTAAATAGAAGTTCAGATACTAATATTAACCTTTGAATAGTCAACATGTTTAATCTTACCTTGAATAAAATCTAGTGATTTCTGTAGCCCTATTACTATAACACCAACACACGTTTAACAGTTGTGTTTGTGTGTTTTGTTTTAAAGATAGCATAGAAGCCAACGTTGAAAATGCAGACGTGCATGTTCAACAAGCAAACCAGCAACTGTCAAGGGCAGCAGACTATCAGGTAATATTAACTGTAATACATGTTTTCGTGTCTCGGACTTTTAACTGTGTGTGTACGTAATCAGATTTCAAGTGGCTGGAGATGCTCAAGTTTAAAGTCCCATGGAAGACAGTGAGAAATCTGCCAGTCGGTTTAAAGCTGGATTTGCCCTGATGATTCTCAGGGTTGAACCAGCATTGTGGGCCACAGGGGTAGGAAGATTAGTGTTTAGTCCTGAGCGGGGCAGTAAAGGACTCCAGGCTCTGACAGCCTCTGATGTCACTGTGCCATTCCAGCCCAGAAACCTCTGAAGCCCCCTTCCTCCTCTTTCACTCTTTCCCCTACCTTTTCTCCTTCCCTTCTCCTCCCCTGTCTCCCTCCCCCTACTCCCCGCCTTCTTCCTACCCCCCCCACACACACACACTTTTTTTTGGTCAGTGACACTATGTAGACCTAAAGAGCTAAAGATTTTTGCCTTAGAGAAACCTCTTCAGGCCCTGTGGAAGTGACATTAGCTTGGTGTGTCACTGGCCATTACGTATATATTCTGTCAGCCTTCAGCAGGCCCTTTATCAGGAATGAACTGATGTCTTAAGTGAAGCAGGTTAATATAAGGAGTCCATATGTTTGTGTCAAATATAAAGTTTGTGTAAAGTACTATATGAATATTAGGACCATGAACTATTAATATATTTAATATTTAGACCTTTGTTGTTTAACAAGGATAAGGCCAGGCTCTTAGGAAACCCCTAAATGACACCCTAACATTTGCCCTCCATTTTAAAACCCCATTTTTTGTGGTTCATAATTATTTTTTCAGACCTTGTTACCTTTTTATAAAATATCTAAGATTTGCACCATCTTAGATATTTTCAGTTGCTTTTCACTTGTCTCACTACCTTAGAAGTTCTTTTTACTTTCAATGCCTTTTTTTCACTGGACAAATCACTGCATATTTAATGATATGTAGAGAACAGGGAAGCTATATAGAGAAGGCTGAGTGACAACCCATTGTATTCACTGGCAGAGTAACTCACGTTCACCATCTTTGTGCATGTGGTTCAGATATGCATCTCTGCAGAATTAATGTCACGGTGTCATAGACTGTAGGTATTATTCATAAAAAGTTGAACATACACACACAGTAAATTGTAAATGCCAACGGTTATAACTGCTCAAACATAGTCTTTAGCAGGATTCATCAGTGACTGGCTTGCATACTATTTATTTTTCCTTTTGGATTTGGAGGAGATGTAGATGTACAAAACCTTTACTTTTCCTCTTCCTTGTGGAAGGGAAAGCCTGCAGCCACCCTGGGGGAAAGAAACACGTTTTCCCAAGCTGCCCTTATACTTAATTCCATAGGCCCTGAAGGGATAAGGAAAGAGCCACATGATACAAGTGCTGGGAAGAGAGCAGTTTTCCAACTTTCCTACTTGGAAGCCTTGATAATAAACTCATGCCTTTGCAAAATACGGTGCTTCTAAATAGGCCGGGTGAACCAGGAGCATAAAGGAAGGTGATAAGTGCTCCAGCCACTGCAGGGCCCAAGGACCTCACGACCCAACACTGGCGAGGGTCCCCTCCATAACAGATGTACTGGAGTGGAATACCTGTGACTGTTCACAGGGCTCCATTACACGTAGAGTGTCAGGGGTAACCAGGTGGAGCCTGGGGCAGATATGTAGGCATGATCATATTGAAACTTGAGAGAAATTGTGTTTAATATAGGAGGAGTATTTAGTTGAAAAATTAGATGAATGTGTGGAATACTGGAAGTATTCATGGTTTTCAGGGTAATTTCAGAGTCAGAAATATATCTTTCTGTAAATTTTATGGTACTTCTGGTTGATACAAAGTAAATTTACAAATTTTTCTACTCTGTAAGAAAAAGGATTCCTGCATGTTGCTGTGAGATACACAAGCCATTAAAGAAATATAGAAATCTACAGCTGGGCCAGGAATGAAGAATGGAACCAAAACTCTTAACTTTTATATTTTAAATGGCATATTATAATTTTTTTGCTCTTTGTTTTTTATTTGTATGTTGAGATTTTGAATGCAGTTTCCGTTAATACTAAACAATGAGAATGATTTTCGAAACTAATAAATTTACCTTAGGAAAAATTGCCAAACATTTACTCTTGCTGATATTTTTGGAGAACACATTTTGAAGAACAACTTTTTAAAAAAATTTATGTTTCAATTACAGTTGACATTCAATACGTATTATATTATTTTCAGGTGTACAATGTAGTGATTAGACATTTATATACCTTATGAAGCGATCACCCCAATAAGTCTAGTACCCATGTGACACCATACATAGTTATTACAATATTATTGACTATATTCCCTATGCTTTACTTTATATCCATGTGACTATTTTTATAACTGGCAATTTGAAGAACAACTTTTTGATAAAAGTTTAAAAATACATAAATTTTTAATCTGTTCTTCATTTCCATACAGAGGTAAACTTCAGTCTGTTGCTTAAATCAGTAACTTTTATTTTTCTATATTCTCTTTTTTAAGCCCAACTATACCCCAGAAAAATTACCAACAAAAGTTGTCTGAATTGTACCATTAACTTAAGAAGACTATTTGAAAGATTAGTGCCATATGTATTGAAGAGATTTTTGAGAAGGAAAAAACTTAGCCAAAAATTTGAGGGCAATAAATTACTATTGATTTTACCCTAGAAATGAGCCAAATGATTTTCAGTTGCTAAGGAGGTGCTCCATTACATCTGTAAACATGTTTTTTGTTTTTGCATCTGCAGCGCAAATCCAGAAAAACCCTGTGCATCATCATTTCTATCCTTGTCGTCGGATTGGCAATTATTGGTTTTATTATATGGGGAGTGAAAAGCTAAAATTATAAAGGAGTACACTGTTGCACTACATTATCTAAATTATGTAGGAAGGTTCCTGTAATTGTTTTTCTTATTTTAAAGTTATTGCATAAAGGATGGTTCCCATACTTTGTTATTTTTATTTGAGGGGAAGTTTCCCTTGGATTAAATTTGATATTTTCTAATACTGAAAGCTTTTCTAAATATCACTGCTGTCATAAATTCGTGTTTTTTGGTCTAATAACTGTTAGGTTTTTGTCCATATTGTATATGTCTTTCATTTTTTATTTATTTATCCTCTTGACTTAGTTTTTGGAATTAGTAAATTTAACATTGTGTATGTTCTGTGGGCACCTATTTCTGCCACAATGTAACATGCACCCAGATTTGTGCAACTTCAATTATAATACAATTATAAAGTTTAATTTTGATTTGGGCCAGCAGAGGAAATATTCTCAATAATTAAAACATATTAATATATTTGTGTTGGCTTTTTTTTTTCTGGTTCAGAGCAGGATATATTATCTATTTAACTTTTATTGTTGGTTTTTTCTTAAGACCCTTGATTACTTTGAGTGAAATCAGTGAATAACTTCCTACCATATTTCATGTACCTGATGTGTATATAGTAAGCATTTGCTGTAGATTGCCTAGTAAAATACTAAGAGTGGATTCTTCTTACACGGGCTCTGTTTAAGTCTGACATTTACTGGGGAATGTGTACTCACTATAGATGCTTAATGTGATTTGGAGGAAAAGTATGGCAAATCAGTACCAACTGTGTTCGAATTCTAAACATCCTAACCTGTTATTTCACTGTGTATTTCCACAGCTATGTAATGGAAAATTACTTTTTCTTATGTCCTATAGAATAATGGCTACATTTGGATCCTTGGATCAAAGTTATTTGGGGGAAGTAACTTTTCCACAATTACTGTTTTTCAGCACCCAGCACTTAAAATGTAGTGTTTACCTTGCATACCATTTTATATCGTCCTTCATTAGAAAAGGAATTGGATGTTTGCCAGTTAACTCACTTGCCTTTTTAAATCGATGTTGTTTTAATGCACTAACCTGAACACTGTAGAGGGGATCATCTTCGTTTATAATTTGTATTTTATAGTGTTCTTATATAGCAGTTTGATAGTGAAGGCAGTGTTTTACATGGCAAGCTATGAAACTTCAAATGGGAACAAATAAAATATTAAGTAACTAAGTAAATTGTATATTTACAACCAAAATAAAGATGATTTTAAAAGTGTCTGTGTAGTTCTGTTTTATGAGGACTCTGCTTCCGTGGGACCGACACGTGACGCGTAATTCAGGCTTTTGCCACCGCGCTACCCGGAATCTCAGCAGAGGAGTTGGAGCCACAAGGGCAGCCATGCGCCATCTTTCCAGAGCACCGGTTTACTTCGCGTTTTTATTTTGGCAATTTTAAGAGGTTTTGCTCCTAATAGGGAAAAGCTGCTTTCTGTGTCAGTAGAACTCACCTTTTTCCACAAAGGTGACTACAGAACTTTTTTGTGAGTGATTAGAAACTGAGATTTTGCATTTACCAGAATTGGGGTGCTTTAATGAACAGGATGGAGGTGCAGGGAGGAGAGCTCATACAATTACTACCTGTTCTGAAGTCAGCGCAAGCCCACGAGGCCTTCTCGAACATGTTTCTGCCTTTGTAAGCGCAGAGAAGCGTGCTGTTTCATGGGATGTGCCAGCATCTTATGGCTATAAAAGTCCACAAATCACTTCAGTTTTCCCCACAGTTGTACTTGATCAAATGTTATTATCGCATAGGTACATGCATTTACTTGTACTTGTGGTAAGTTCCCAATAACAGCAAACACACTTAATATTTTTTGGCAGGGTTTTAGCACCATTATTTAAAGGGTAATGATTTATAAATTATTCTAAAACCGGGACATAGATAAATGACTGAAAACAGGAATGCTAGTGGCTTGCATTCTTTTAAGAATTATTAATTTTGAGGGGGAAATTTACACAAATATTTAGAACCCAAAGAGTAATCTTCATTAGAAAAAAATGAAATGAAAAACAGCACAATAACCAAATTTTTAAAATTCGTGAAGTTCTCCTTTAGGTTAGTTTTAGAGTCACTTTGAAAGGTGGCGAAGCTTACACTATGGAAAATAAAATTAGAGTTTTCAACATATCTGAATCTTTGTGAGGCAAACTGAGTCTTAAACCAAAGAAGCTTCCTTATCAGATGACACACATTGTTCATTTTATTGTGCTCCGCACTCATGCTTGAATGATGTTGACTGAGCTTAACCAACCACTTTGCTTAAATTGAATGAGTGTGACATGAAGTATTTGACCATTGTATTGGTCATTAAATATTATGAAAAAGTTTTGGTTTTGCACAATGATTGATGGTAAAAGAAAAACCAGTGTCATTTCAACATAACGCAGCTTGTTTTTTAGTAGACGTGGGATCACCTCTAAAAAAGGAGAGATATGGGCACAGTGGAGCTCGATACAGGACAGCAGACCTTGGACGCAGCACCTGCTGAGGCCCACTGACCACACCGGGTGCCCGGTGGCAGCGTCTGCATCGGCTGAGAACAGCACACCCTGAATAGGTTGCCACTGGGTCCTTTGGGCTCTTCACGGCTTTTGCTAAAAGTGGTATAATTTTGTACACAACAGAAGTGTTTTGAATACCAATCTTTTTAGACAAATTTATATTGAAAAAATGAATGGCTTGGGAGGCTGCTGCTTCCATAAAATTAGTCTAGTTTAGCAAGGAAAGTGAAGAATAGTTTTTCTGATTGGCGTAATTTTTGTTTCTTCATGTAGAAAAAAGAATGTCATAATAAAATATGAAGCCCGTATAAAGAAAATAAAGTCACTGTCCATCATAATAGTGAAGAGTAATTCACAAGGGTAACTTATTCAGCATTTAGTTTTTGAAAGATAAAATTGACTATTTTTTGCAATAAAGATAAAATTTTAGAATGGGATGAAGAGAGTTGTTTGGGTAAGTTCTGAGTTAAATGACATTTTTAGTTATTTTAACTATGAAAATTCCTCATTAGTAGTAAATAACATCAAGTGTCTTTAAAAAAAGTGAATTTTCATGATTTAGTTAAAAAACAACTGACCTGTGGATCCCAAACATCTTTAGTCTACCATAAGATTTAAGCAGCTTGACCTCTGAGCAAGGAAATATACTGAGTAACATTTACACCAACAGGAGCTGGAACGTGTGTGCACAGTACCACTTCTTTGACCAAAATGCGTTACATCTGTATTTAACAATTGTCCAGCCATAGTTCATAAGTCAATGAAGATAAAACCATTTTCCCTATATGTTTAAGACTTCGTGTCCTAAATTGTGACACAGGAAATTAAACTAAAGAAACTGCCTGGATACGAATGCAGGGTCATCTCAGACACAGTGAGGAAGCTAAGTTAACAAGACAGCAGGAAACTTGTCTTCTCTTAACGGTAATTGAAACTATTATTTCTATCCATGCTCAGTTAGGAAAACAGCCACTCGATGTCAGCAAGAAGGGTTTCAATATGGGAACTTAGAAGCTTCCACCAGCATCAGGGGAGGGTGAGGGAAGGTTCATCTGCAGCACCAACAAGGGTGGATCTCAGGAGCTGACCCAGGAGCAGCTGTGCATCTCGAATCATCCAGAAGCTCCTGCTGCCTCAGCTTGCAGCGCTGATACCGGTAGGTCTCAAGGACCAGCCCACTTGGGTGTTGACAGCACCAAAGCCAGTGACCTGCCAGAGACCTTGAAGTTGCCGCAAAGCCTGTGTCTGCTGCCTGCCCACACTTGTCCCAGCAGCAGCCACTGAGGAAGGCTGACCTCCTTATCTCTGCCTTCCTAATCTCATGAAAATACCTCTTTTTCGTTGGTTAACCCTGACTTAGAAGTAGAAAGCAACAGGAAGTCTGGGAAATGTAGTTTCTGGCTCTACAATGCAGAGGACAGACACTACAGAAGGAGGGGGCAGTGATGCTGAGGTGATGACAGAATGCCCAGCACATTAGTGAAACACTGAAATGCCGCGAGAACACAAACTACGTGAAGCAAAAAGCTTCCCAGTATTTTCTTCTCTTCCATTAGGAGTTCTTTGATGAAAAAATTTAGAAGCACTGCTTCCAAATGGTAAACAAGTCAGTTTTTCCAACCAGGACAAAGTCTATATAAGCAAACATTCTGGGGCCCCAGCACCTAGCAGTGTACTCTCTCCCTGCATAGTTGCTCAATAAATATTTGTTCACGTAATTTGGCACTTATTTTGTGCCAGATTGCAACATTCTTGGGCATAGAGGGTAAAGGGTGAACCAGGAGAATATGGGCTTGCCCTCAGGAGCCTACGTTTGTCATTGAGCATGTAAAAAACACTTGATGTGTAAGAAAGAAAATGGTAGGTGGGAGAGGAAGGAGGCAAGGAAGAAAGGAACATGTGAGGATGGATTCATCACTCTTCAGACCACCTAGCACCTTAAATTCAGGGACCATTCACTCTGAGGACTGGCTTCCTGTTTATCCTGTCAGCCCCCTTAACAGGTAACTGAATTTTGTTGTCTTTGCTCCCTTAGTAGACTACTAGAAAATCGATAGTTTTCTAAAGAGTAGCTCCTAATTTGAAAGGAGATCTGTATGTAATGTCTCCAAAAAGGAACCTTCCTTCTCTAGGTGGCAGTGTCTGGATTCAGACAGAGCTAGGGCACCCTGAAGTCAGGACTGACATTTATCAGGACTCTAGAAAAACCGTTGCTTCCGACAGAGGGCAGAGCATTGGAAAAAGGGCAAGAGCCACGGGGAATTTGGAAACCTGTGTTTCTTTAGATTGCACCCAAAAGCCAATGTATTACGTATGCTCCTGGTAAAATGGTCTTTCAAATGTGTTTAATTTAACCCTACCCAATCCCTTGGCAAGTCTTTTTTTTTTTTTGTATCAAAAGGGAATAAACAGCACCCTCTTAGTGGCTCATGTTAATCCCTTTTCTCACAATTCAAATACTGTGTCAGTATGTCAATTTTAATCCTTTGTCTTGGCAATCATTTGGCTATGTGAAAATTGTTTAATACCTTATTTTCTTCCAAATGATCCTAATTTTAAATGCAGAAATAGAACTAAATAACTGACACACTAAATAGATTTTTATAGACACTGTTGATTCTGGCAGATTTTTAAGAGGTCGGTCACTTAATTACTCAGAGTGGGATTCCTGTAGGTTTTGTGTCGTGATGGCATTTCTGCTTCAAATGTAAGTGGCAGAAGGCAAAACCAGATTTCCTGTGCAGTTGTTACATGCATAACACCCCTACTTGTTTTAGAGGGAATCTGCTAGAACTGAATTGAGTCTTTAAATAAACTTGAAAGGGCCTTAATTCCCACTCTGGCAAACCCTAAGTACAACTTTTTAAGTGTGTACTGTAAGTACTGTTTGACATTAGTTGCTAACTCCAAAACCTATTAGCATTGGTGGAAAACTTAGAAATGCTGTTACTTAGTCTCAGCAAAGATTTACTGATACTGGTTTCAGTTTCTTATGTCTTCTGCAAGTTTTCTATCAGTTATTGAATGGTAGATCTAAAATTCTGAAATCTGACCAGGGTAAAGACAGCCTAGTTTACATCTCTAGAAACTAGAGATTGAACCCAACAGTAAGATACAAGCTTTTAGTAACTTGCCTAACTGAAGACCTATCAGCTTTCAGGTTAAAGCTGATCCTTCTGTCAGTAATGGTTCTAGAAACAAAAAGCCAAATTATATTTTAGTGGGGAATATTTTAATTTTTTGTAAACCTAGGTGCTATGGTGATTTTAAGTCCATTTAAAAGTGTTTCCAGTGTTCCTGACCACATCCAACCTCTTTTCAGTGCCTGCCAAATTTAATGTTTTTAACCTCCCCAAAGGTTACCATAATTTTATCATTAAATTATTATTTTTGTAGTGGGCTACATACCAAAATTTAGTGAGGCAGCCATCACCTATCGTTTAAATTAGTTATGTCTTGGATGCAACAGGATATTATTTGTTCTAAACCAGGACTACCCTGTTATCTCTGTGCCTTTTCCTGATTTATGATCAAACATTTTTCTTACTAATTTAGAAGTTTCATATGTTGTATTAAACTTTTATCAAGCCTGGAATGGAGGCAACTGACCAATACTTTGGAATGGCACAGACACTTAAAATACAGAGCCCATTCACTGTAAAGCGTAAAATATGGGTAATGCTACTTTATGGGTAAATTTAAAATATGGGTAAA